TAAGGTGGTTGGTTATCTCCAACTATTGGGGTATGTGTTGGTGTTGGATAATATTGTTGAAATCCTATTGTTGTTGGATGTTGTGTACTAGAAGTGGATGTACCAGATGAAGAATATTGGCTACAAAGAAATATTTTTGAATTTGCACGAAACCATTGCAAATATTTAGGAGTGTGTTGAAGAGGCCCTTGAAGTGGTTGCCCAAAAATAACATGTTTGCGTCTATCTTTCCAAATGGAAATCTAGTATGCATGTTGTTCAGCCCAGTTGGTGTCACTGTGTCCTCTCATGTCAATTTCGTGCATTTTATCAAGATTATGCACTTCATTAGGGATTGATTGCCACAAGCCATATTGTAATTGGACTCTGTCACTTTGATGCCAGACTATAACTGCAAATGAAGCTACAACAGTACAAGAAATCCATATTCTGGAATCCTTGTAAGCACGTGTTGGTAATGAGGACTCAAATCCCCTATATGGCATCCAAAGAAACTGAAAAAAGAAAAAGGTTTAGACAATAAATTAATTGAATGAAAGTTTAATCAAAGAGAGTATGTTTGAGATAAGTTGACATCGTATTACCTCGTTATGATTCATGTTATCATATCTTAATCTGTACCCAAGCAAATCTCCATGGGGCATCCCCGTAAATCTTAGCCCTCTTCCTGTCCATCTAAAAATACTGTACATTGATTAAAATTTACAATTTATGTGGTTGTTTGATGTATTAAAGTTGTATATAAGTTTATTCATACCTTAATGCAAGCGAATATGTAATATCTCGTTCGACTCGTGGTTGGATGAAGGGCATGCGATACCAAGCCCAAGATTGCAAAAGTAAAGAACATCCACCCATTTTCTTGGATGATGAATAAATCGCCCTACACATTTCTCTGTACAAATATGTCAAATAAGTAGAACCACAACTATATCGTCCTGCACATTCTAAGTCAGTCAAAAGTGGTAAATACATTAAGTGAAGTCTGTTACCTGACTTGTCTGGCATTATTACACCACCAATCAACCCTAAGATATATGCCCTACAATGTTGGTGCAACTGTTGTTCAGTGGGTTCATCTGGTAGCGCAATTGTATGGTCTTTTAACCATTTTAGTTTTATGATTGAGCCAATTAGAGCTTCCCCTTTTGGAGGTACGAAGCCTAACAACTCATAACACAATTCATCACAGTCAAAGAAAGTTGGTCCAGTGACTGGTTTGCCATCGATCCTCAAACCTAGTTGAAGTGCCACATCTTCCAAAGTGACCGTGCACTCACCAATTGGGAGGTGAAATGTATGTGTCTCAGGTCTCCACCTCTCGACCAAAGACGTTATCAGACAATCATCAATTTTAAAATGTCTAATTTTGGTAACGTCCCCAAATCCAGCAACCTCCAACAAATGTTCAATTCTTGGGTCAGGTGGAGGCATAGAATGATAGTAAGATTGAATTACTTGACCACTTGTTGTCTGTGAATATGGTAGAACTGAAACGTTAGTAATGAATAATATTAGTTGTAAAGATTATGAAATATATATTAACTTACCATAAGATGACTTTCATTAGATCTATGGAGGTATTGTTTCCACAACATAGTTGAAGATGACGAAGACATTCTTGAAGGAGAAGAGCAACGAAATTGATGAATGCAATAGCAAAAGAGAAATGTTGTGTGTTTAGGCTTTGATGGTATGTAGTGTATATATAGTGCAAAAAAGTGAGACAATTAATACATGCGCGTCAGGAATCCAACAACTTTATGCAGTGTCATTGATTCAGAGTGTCATTGATTCAGGGTGTCATTAATGCATGCGCGTTAGGAATCCAACAACTTTATGCAGTATGTCATTGATTTAGAGTGTTATTAATTCAGGGTGTCATTGATTCATAGTGACATTAATGCATGCACGTTAGGAATCCAACAGTGTGTCATATTGATTCAGAGTGTCATTGATTCAGAGTGTCAAAAAATATAAATTATATAAAAATTAAAATATTACAAATATAAGTATAATATTAATTTATGAAATTAAAAATAAATTATAATTAAAATATTAAAATATCTATATTTATTGAAAAAATTAAATTATTAAATAATTCAAAATATTATATTACCAATATTTATTAAATGACATTGAAATAATTAAATTATAAAATATATTAATTTATAAATTTAAAATTTTAATTATAACTAAAATAATTTTTAAAATATTTACAAAAAAAAACTAAAAAAACAAATAAAAAAAGGACTCGATGAGAAATCGGTTTAGCAACCACCAATTTCTCAAAGGGGTGTTCAACGTTTTAATCAAAATTGAAATGAGAAATCGTTTACTCATTGACCGACTTTTCAATACATAAGAAAAACGGTATATTTACGTAAATAAAATGTAATCTAAAATATTTACAAAAATATTAAAATAAAATGGTATATTAAAAAAATTCATAAATCACACGACTTTTATTTTTCGTAAATAAATAAGAAAATGAACAATACACATAAAATTCATCCATATTTGAATAAAGAGTAATTTTTACTAAGTATTATACCGCTCAATAATTTTATATTAAATATAAATTTTATAAACCCAATTATTAGATTGAAAGTTTTTTACTTTTAAATTATATATACAAAATTTTATATTAATCTAAGATGATTTGTTACTTCATTCTTATAAAACAAAATTAACACAAAATATGCATTTCAAAATATAATAAAAATATAAACATTTTGATTATCTTTAAGTTGTTGTTCAATTTTAATAAAATTTAATATAAACATATAAAGTGATATGAAGTTCTAATTCAATGGTTAGATTTACAAAATTTACATTTAATATAAAGTTATTCAACAATGTAATACTTAGTAAAAGTTACACCGATATCATTTGAATCCTCTTGAATGTAGGATAATCACATTCGAATAACACTTTTTGTTATTCATGTCATACTTTTATTTATTCAAATAAATAAAACTCTTATTTGAATATGTTTTCTTTCAAAATGTGAAAAAGTTTAATTTTATTATTTTAATTAATTTATAATCTAAAAAATTTTGTTTTAAAATTATTTGCTTATTTTTAATTATTTATTTAATTTAAAAATATTATTTATTTAGTAATATAATTTTTATTTAAATGATTAATATAAAATATATAGTTGAAATGTCCTTCCATTTGTAACATTTCTTTCACACTATTTGATTTCATACAGAAAAAAAAAAAAATTGATACTATTTTTCTTGAATTAACGTGACAGAAATGACATGTAGATCCATCGTCTCCCAATGCAACATTTATTAGTGGTACCTTAAATTTTCATACTTATAAATTGTTTCATCAACCTGGTTCTTGAACTTCAAGGATTGTAGAAAGTTATATGCTAAGTTAATCGAAAAAGCCTCTATAGACTCATCTAGTCAAGTCCAATTATCTTGCTTTTCTCTTTTGAGTTTAACATCTGCATATTTTGAGTTTATATATGTGAATTTACGTAACATTTATTATACTGTTAGTGTTTATTTATCGGATATAACTGTGAGTGTATATAGAAACTTATATTTATTATTTGTTTATTGGAAATAACTACAATTGCATAGAGAAACTCACGGCAGTTCGATGAATATAACTGTGATTGGTACTTTGTTAACCTTATTTCACAACTCAGATAAATCTACAACATTAAAACTCACTTTGATTGAATTAACCATGAAAACAACTTGTAAAGATTATTGATTTGATATATATTAATGTTTTAAAATTTTTAAAAACAAAATTAAACTATAACATTATAACGCATATCAGAGCTATTTTAATAAATTTTAAGATTGAAAATATTATTAAACATTATGACAAAAACTTGTAACAAAAATGGAACATAATATAATATCATTTAAATTAATTTTAATATTTTCATTTCTTTTTAAGTGTTGTATAAATTTCTTAATATACTTTTTATTTTTATTTTTACATCACAATAAATATACATTAATTGTAAATATATAAGTTAAGTACAGTAATAAATAAGGGTATAATTAAAAAAATAACGTTGTGTTAATTTTTGACAATAACAAATAAACAAAAACAAAATTTTTCTAAAAAAAACTGAAAATTAAAAATAATGGATGGAGTATTAAATTTGTGATAAATGTAAGTAGGTTAGAGTATTCAATTGTAATTAGTAGTACTGCTACTATTCAAATTCTGCCATACCGTATAATACATTGGTTTTTATGGTGGTGAAGACGGAAAGTTACATCGCGTTACCAGAAAGAATTTGTGTGGCACATCACATTTACCTAGACGACTGTGCAATTCAATTGTTCTTTCTTTCGTGCCTGTTTGAAAACAGAGAGAGTAGTGGCAAGTGTTCATGAAGAGAGAAAAAATATAATATTTATATTTAATTATTATTTTTATAAAAAGTATAATTTCATTCTACTGGGTAGATTTTTTCACAAGAGAAAATAATTAAATTCTTGAATATAAAAACATTGTTTTGAATTAGTGAATTAATAATAGATAATAGATTGTGGTCCATTTGAAAAAGGTAGGAAAGTGGGAAAAAGGGTATTTGCGGCAAACGGAAGATGCTTGCATGTGGTAATGGCAGCTTACTAACCATCGAAGTTTTTTTTTTTTTTTTCATTACTGAAATATCCAGGATCTGACTAATCTTCTTACTATGTTAGAGACACCTCAAAAAATAAAATAGTTAGTCTTAAAATTTAACACGACCGCATACACAAGATAGAATTTGAACTCCTAACCTTGTTTATTTAAACGTAGATTAATTCCTAACACTCAATCACATGCTGGCTCGTACTTTGTCCATACAAGTTAAAACCGCTATGTCCCACATCGATTTTGTAGATTTTCCATCCATGAAAGCTACAAAACCACACGCCTTCACCCACGAAACAGCCTTTGTGCCCTCCAACGTGGGCCCCATCACACTTTGCACTGTTTTAAGGTGGTCATGAATCCACTTATACCCCCTCAGCGGTTTTTGGTCCCAACACTTTTTAAAGCGTTAGTTAAAGTTGTCACTCCCAAGCTCTATAAATTAAGTGCCACCCCCCTTCATTTTTACTTCACTCATCTACTCTGCATTCTGTCTCACCACTGCCTTCAAAGTAATTGCAAATTTGCATTTCAATTTCATCATGTCAATGGCAAAACTCAAACGTGCACATTTTTATTTTTTTTTTACAAAATGTTGCACGTTGTGAGAAGCATTTGAAGGAAATACTGATTTTGATTCTTTTGTTTTGGATGTTCAGGGAAAAAAAAATGGCTTTCATTGGGTTGCTCTTGGTGGGGTTTCTCACAATGTTCTCCTCTGCTTATGGGTATGGCTATGGTGGTGGTTGGGTTAATGCACATGCTACCTTCTATGGAGGGAGTGATGCTTCAGGAACAATGGGTATGCGACAAAATTAAAACTTTGGTTGGATTATGTTAAAATTAAGGCCTAAGTGGCTGACCCATTTGGGTGATTTGTTAAATTGTGCAGGTGGGGCTTGTGGGTATGGGAACCTCTACAGTCAGGGGTATGGAACAAACACTGCTGCACTGAGCACTGCTTTGTTCAACAATGGTTTGAGCTGTGGCTCATGCTATGAGATCAGGTGTGTGAATGACCACAGGTGGTGCCTTCCTGGCTCCATTTTGGTCACTGCCACTAATTTCTGTCCACCAAACAATGCCTTGCCAAACAATGCAGGAGGGTGGTGTAACCCTCCTTTGCACCATTTTGACCTCTCTCAGCCTGTTTTCCTAAGAATTGCTCAATACAGAGCTGGAATTGTGCCTGTGTCTTACAGAAGGTAATTATGTAATTTGGCTTTAATATATATTTATTTTTACACTTTTAAGAGTTTTGGAGAAATGGGCTACCTTACCTTGTCCCCTTGTCACTTTCAACTTTTTGAGGGTACTTTCTTGTTATTTTTTAACTCAGGGAACTTTCCCTACTTTCATTGTCTAAGTGGTAAATGATGAATCTACTTTCTTCTTAAAGTTGGTAAATTTACACTGAAATTACTGTTTTTGGCCAAGTGGGGTTACTGTTTTCTTTCTGCAAAATTTAATTTAGAGTGAACTAGAAATCATTTATTTTTAAAAGATATATTCTGTATACAATTTTTCATGCATTCTCAGATTTTTTAATTAAAATATAAATATAAAGTTCCAATTTTTTTTTTCATTTTTAATTGTCTCATGTTAACCATAGCTCACCTTGTGAGATAAGGTATCTGTTGTTGTGATGGATCTATGTTAAGAAGCAAAAAAAAAAATTAATTCTATATGAAAACATAACAAATGAAGAATTTTTTTTATGGCTAAGCTCTTTTATGTGGTGATCCAAACAAGCAACAAGAGTGGCATGTTCATTTTATTCTTGTTGTGGATGTTGTGTAGGGTACCCTGCAGGAGAAGGGGAGGCATAAGGTTCACAATCAATGGTCATTCTTACTTCAACTTGGTCCTAATAACAAACGTAGGTGGTGCTGGTGATGTGCATGGTGTGGCCATCAAAGGGTCCAGAAGTGGGTGGATGCCAATGTCTAGGAACTGGGGTCAGAATTGGCAAAGCAACAACTACCTCAATGACCAAAGCCTCTCCTTCAAGGTCACCACAAGTGATGGCAGAACTGTGGTGTCCTACAATGTTGCCCCAGCTGGGTGGTCCTTTGGCCAAACCTACACTGGTGCTCAATTCCACTAGAACTTGAAAGTTCCAAATATTTGATCATATACTACACCATATAAATAGTACTACTATGTTGTAATTTCTCAAATAGTATACTAGGGTATTAAATAGTATGCTACTTGGTGGAGGGGGTGGGATCAATTAGCAATGGCATTCTAGGGATCACAAAATGGTTAAGGGCTTATTTTAAGATGGCCCTTCACCATTTTGATTGTGTCACAAGGGGTTTCTAAATCTTGGGACCTTCTTGATTATTGGGTTTTTTTTTTTTGTTTTTTTAATTTTGGAAGCTTTTTCAATCTTTCTGCTGCTGAAAGCTAGCAGAGATGGAGGTTTTATATTTTATTGTTATATGTGACCTACTAAATTGGAGGAGGTGGAATATTGTACCACCCGCCATTAGTATTGGAATTTTTATTTAGGGTCCCTATTGGGATTGTTAGAAGCATTGTTTGCTTACTCATGTGGTGTGAGCAGCCATGGCTAAGTATGTTTTGTTGTACTCAAAAGTGTAAATTTTCCTATTTCAAAATGTAATGGAAAATTGGAGTAATTTACTACTACTATGTGCTCTGCTCTTAAATCTATTCTGGCAAATATTCTCTTCTGTGCATGAACATGAAAATGAAAATAGAAATCTAAATCAAGAAAGATTTGTCTTACGGTGTGTTTGGACCCCCTTCTTGAGTTCACATTCTTAAAAATTAAAAATTAAATTCTTGAAAATACACATTTATTGTGTGTTCAAATGTTGTTGCTTGCAATCAACAAAATATCAAATACACATTCAATCTAGTCTAACATGATTTTGCTTAGAAAAATAATTTAATGGTTGTTTTGAACCTAACATGATTATATATTTAGAGTCACGTTTGATTAAAAGTGCTTAAAATGTAGCATTTTCACAGTTTTAATACAAATTCACTTTTTCTTTTATCGGTACAAATTTACTTTTAAGATAAAATATTTTAAAATAAATTATTTAATATCAAATTCCTTTAATCAAATTCAATTATAAAATTAAAGATCACTTAAATTAAATTTATAAATATTAATACAAATTTACAATAAATAATTTGACTAATTTTTTATTTAAAAAACCATTTAATTAAAAATACTATGTTTTTAAGACGTTTGGAAAGTCTTGTAAATCTAATAAACAAATATACTTTTTTTTAGACACGAATAAACGAATATAAGTACATTTATGTTTTACTGAAATATACTTAATACATATGAATAATATATTATTATAGTATAATTCTTTTTGCTATAATATTTTGAAATTATATAATTGATATATTAAAGGCTTAGCTCTAATCTATTTAGAGGTTAATTTGTTACATCATTTAAAATTCTTATTTCCAAATTGACTTTAAAGAAAGTCACAAAAGCCTTAATCAACAAAACATACATAATGTCAAGTAAAGAAGTCATATTTAATTTTTTATTTGAAAATAAATCATACCTATTTAAATTTTAAGAGTCTCATTTTTCCTCTAGTAATAATATTAAAAAAAAAAGCAATTACACGGTTGAATACTATTGCTAATTGCACATAATTAATGTCAATGATCGTTTCGAATATTAAATAAAATTTTTAAAAATCCTTATTAAGGTCTTAAATGATGCAATTGTTTCGTATGGATTTTAAACACCGTGAAAGGTTGAACTATCAACCAATTTTGCTCATTTTTAATGTTTGTAAGGACTGATTGTGTATATAAATTTTATTTTATTTTAATAATGGTTTCAAATATTATATGTAATTTTTAAAGCCATAAAATCTCCTGAAATTTAAGGTAATTAAATTATGCAAATTATTGTATGAGCTTTTAAACTACTCGAGCGGTTAAGATGATAATAAAAAATTACCATAAGGAATTGGAGTATATGTAGCATAAATTATTGCAAAACCATGAGGCATTAAACATTAAAACTAAATAGTGTAACTTTAATTAGTAACTTTGAAATCGATAATTAAAAAATACAAGTATTAATACGAGACTTGGTTATCATAGACTTTGCAAATAAATATGATTTTGGACCATTTTGCTTAAATTAAATATTTTAGAAAGAAATTTTTTAAGAAGTAGATAGGAATTATTTCTTTAAAAATGAAAATTTTATTTTATTTTCCTTAAATAAAGTCTAAAAAAATTTAAAAATAGAAAATCATTTATCCTATTAAAAAGGTACTTTTAAAAAAACTCAAAAAAAATACCCTTTATTATTCAAAAAAAAGTTAAAATAGGTCAAGTGTTCAGTGTTGCAGGCTTTTGTTGGATTAATAGATGAAATAGCCTTTTTGAACAACCCGTACCCAGTAAGAAACAAAAAGCCCAAATATAAACTAGGGCAGAATAATAGCATGCTTTTATTAAATTTCTTCGTAATGAATTTTTTTTTTCTCTAAAAGTTAAAATTAACTTGGAAATAAATTAAAATAAAAATTTGGAAAAAAAATATATAATTTTTTTTACAAATTAACTCATTCATAAATTAATTTAAAATTTAAAATTTTTATTTATTTTTATTTTCTTCTACTATAAAAAATTCGTTTAGAATAAGATGTAATATAAAAATAGAATAAGATAAGAATATGATATGATAAAATAATTATAAATTTTAATTATATTCAATGTTTAGTACGTATAAAGATAATAAACTAAAAATGTTATTATATTTAACATAAACTTATAAAATATGATATAAATTGTGTTTAAATAACAATTTGTGTTTTTAGTCTCTAAAATTAAAAAATTATTATTTTGATCCCTTAAATTTAAAATTTATCTTTTTAGTCCTTACAATTTAAAAAAAATATTGTTTTAGCTACTAATATCATAAATAATAATGATAAATTGAGAAAGACTAAAATTTTGGAGACTAAAAATATAAGTTTTAAATTTGATGAACCAAAAAAATATATACCTCAATGTAACATCCCGATAGGTTTTTACACTTTTTACAACTCAATGATTAAGCAACAAAAAACCTAAGTATCATCTAGCCTATGATTTTTCATACAAGCAATATCTAAATATTCATGTTGCAATATATATGTAAGGAGTACTCAATTGAAAACACAAGATCCCTCAATAGGATTACAACAACGTTTTGTACACACGTAAATATTAGGCAACAAAAAATAAAACTCCTAAGTTATCAGTCAAGCAATATCTATGCACATATTGTATCAAAAATAACTCAACAACAAAACATAAGTCATCTCTAGATGGCCATTTCTCAAGCATTGCTTTATAACTTAATCATGCTCTGCTCTCATAATAATATTATCATAGTCCAAAAACATGAAAAAAGAAAGATAAATTTGTATACAAGAAAACAAAAATATAATATAAAAGCAAATCGACTAACTATATAAACAACTTCACAACATGAAAAAAAACTTCACAAATTTCAACATCGGCATTCAACAATATTTCTATTAGACATGACACCAACAAGTTACACAACTTATGAACACAATATAGCAGCTTAATAACATAACAACTTAATAGCACAACATCTTTATGCGTCATCATGCATTTCAATAAAGACATCTTTCACAATACATGTGAGCATTATAAGTGGTTTGACCTTATCAAATCAACACAACACAACATTTTTCATTGGTAGGTCAACAACACAATGTTTAAATATCAATCCATTTTCATCACAACACAATTTCTCGAATTTCGTCACTTAAACTAGAAAAATCCAATACCAATATTAGGTACAATGTACCTTGGGTGTGAGCCCACTATGACATTTGCAAGCATTAACCAAGTCATATGTCAATATAGCTTGCTAACTATCTTGTCGATATCGCGCACCCTTCCAATAATTTGTTAAGGATTTTATCCCTCGACTTCATACTTTACTTAATTTAGTCACTTCTAAACCAGTATAACTCAACTTTTCCACCATACGGTAATAACTAAAGACTTAGAGGGGTCACAACACTCCACATCAAGAGTTAACTATCTTAAGAAGGGTTTTTCAATAACTTGGATCCTCAGAGTACCATAACTCATCTATATAACAAAATATTTCATCTTTCAAAAATAACACATCTCCTCTAATCTTAAGTCAAGAACATAACTCAACAATAAAACTTAACAACATGACTATACAACACAACTTAAAATATACAAAATTTGAATCATCTCTAGTTCAACTTCTAACAACACAATTCATTAATCCTAGCAACATATTTCAATATTATTTTATCTTATCTTTTCAACAATATCATATAAAGCATTAAGTTAAAAGGTCACACAACATGATACTCATTTGGGCAAGAGTACCCTCGATAGGATAGTTGAGCTCTCTAAAGCTCCTTGTTGGGTGACATTACTCTCACTTAGCGAGGAAAATGCTATACCAGTTTCTTTGGGTGGGCTTTTGGCTCGCCAAGCCACCAAACTCCTCTAGAGCTTGTCATTAGGCATTAAGAGCTAGCTAAGTGATCAATCTTCTTTGGGTAAATTCTAGTTGGGTGATCATATCTCACTAGGCGGTCAAGATCCACAATGGGTCCTTACATCAAACGCGATATGCCTTATTGGACGAGATTAACCACAAAAGCATACTCTCATTGGACAATAATCTATTATTGAGCAAAAGTATAATTATAGATAGATGTTCATTAGTTCAAAAGCGCACATTGTGTGCTATAAATTGTTGCTAGACAAAAACAAGAATTTCACCCATAGAGAAACGTATTATCACTAGAAATTAAACCATGAATCTCTACCAACTCAACATGCAACCTGTAAATCAACTTATATTCATCAAGAATCACACACACCATGCAATACAAATAGATTCCAAATTCATTCTTTTCCCTGGAATCTGATTCTCCGAGCTATTAAAGACCTACCAACCCAGACCCAGACCCAGTAAAGTAAACCTGAGCCCAAATAGCTTGAAGGCCAAACAAAAATAGACCCTCCAAAGAAACTCACGAAAACGAAGCCCAGTAAAACCAAAAGCAGTGTCGAAGACAAAAACGACCTGCCGTTTACATTTTCCTTTCTGATTATAGACAGAACACAACACATGATCATTATGACATTATCCTCGTCCTGGTGAGTGGTGTCCCCGATGATACTGCAACTCTCCCTCCGACCGACGTTGCACCGGAGCCCGGCCACCTCGGACCGCGGCCTCGTGTTCCGCGAGAAGGTACTCTTCCTCGAAACCCTAAACATAAACCCCTCGAAAGCCTTCCTCTTAAACCCCGCCATCCGCTCCGCCCCTCTCTCCACCCTGAAATCCGCCACGCGCTCCCTCTCCTCCCTGGGCCTCCCACGCGCCGCCGTGGCCCGCATCCTGGACATGCACCCCCTCCTCCTCACGTGCGACCCCTACACCCACCTCTACCCCCTCCTCGACTTCCTCCTCCACGAGGTCCCAATCCCCTACGACCACGTCCACCTCTCCCTCACCCGCTGCCCCAGGTTACTCGTCTCCAGCGTCGACCACCAGCTCCGCCCCACGCTCCACTTTCTCAGAAAGCTTGGCTTCCATGGGCCCCACCACCCCCTCACGTGCCACAACACCCTTCTCCTCGTCTCCAGCGTGCAGGACACCCTCTTGCCCAAGATTCAGTTTTTGAAGGGTTTGGGCCTCTCCCATGCCCAAGTGGCCAACATGGTCGTTAGGTCCCCTGCGCTGTTGACTTACAGCGTTCACAACAATTTGCGGCCAAAGGTGGAGTTTTTCTTCAAGGAGATGAATGGGGATGTGGCCGACCTCACGAGGTTTCCGCAGTATTTTTCTTTTAGCTTGGAACGGAGGATCAGGCCCAGGTATGAGAAGCTGCGTCAGCTTGGCTTGTCCTTTCGCTTGGAGGACATGTTGAAGGTTAGTGATGGCGAGTTTAATGCTAGGTTGGTTGAATTTAGGTTTAGGACGCTTGAGGAAGGACAACGGTTTTAGTAGGTAGTTGTTCTTGCCATTTGGTATGCTTTAAGAAAGGAGAAAGGATAAAACTTGGTTTCAGTTCTTTAGGTGCCATTAGTGTTGTTTTCCTATCAGAATTGGAGTTTAATGAAATTTGCGTTAAATGTAAGTGCATAGTATCTGAATAAATCTTTGGTTCTGATTGGAGAACAGTACTAATTGTACCTAAATACTAATTGTATCTAAGAAACTGTAGTTAAGTTTTATCCTTTAAGAAATGGTCTTCCACTGTGATTTTGGCCGCAAATTTGAGGCTTTTGGGGTATCTGAGATGGCAGTTGCATTTGTGTGCACATTTTGGTAATGATGAGGATTGCTATATTGCTGCCACCATGACCGCAATTTAAAATATTAGTTGTTGGTTTTGCTAAAGCACATAGGTTGATACGTGTATGTGGTAGAGAATGGGCTGCTTGTCATTCAAATGAAACAGGGTTAAGGGCTGCTTGAGGGTTTTGGTTATGGAAAATAAGGATTTGGAAGTAGATGCACATGACCTTTAGAGAGGGTAAAGTGCGAAAATGGAATTGTGGAATTGATTTTCATGATGCTTGTATTATGAACTGTGATGGAGTTGCTAGAATCTAATCTGTCGACTATTTAAGTAGTATAAGTAATTAAGTAGTTTTACCCTATTGAGATCTCTCATTGAGATGTGTTATAACCAAAATAACCTATATAAATAGGGACAATTCTCACTATGCGAACCTGTTTTCTGGGTTAGGCCTAAATCCAAATTCTAACATGACATTTATGCTTATCCCAGTGGTTGATATTGGATTTATTAAGCACTCGTTATCAGTTATCAGAATATTCACAAATGTCCTATCCAACAACCTTATGATTGAGATTTTCAGTTGTCAATATGGAGGTAATGTATTAGAGCTTCCACGTTATCTAATGTGTATAAAATAATGTACATAAATGGAGAGCACTCCTCAATCCTCATCCCTTAAGTTAGTTTTTGGAAATGAGTTAGGCCTAAATCCAATTTTCAAGATATCCCATAAATAATTTGTTAATATATGCATTTTGATACTTTTAGAGTTTGTCAAACCAATGTTGTAAGCTTTTGGCAATAATAAGGTATGCTCAATTTGGTTTAGTCTTGTTCAAATTCAATATTTCATTCTAAAACCATCTGTGTAGTCTTTGCTCTATCGTCCTCCGGGATTCTGCTATATTTCATATTTGTGAATCTTCCTGCCATTTTTCTGAGCTTGCATGTTACTTCAAGATTTTCTGGATGTTACTATGCCCAGTTATTATATTTAATTTTAAATTTATCAAGTTTGAGCTTCTTTGTTACAGCTGAAAAATGTTGTTGATCCTGGCTTATGTTTTAGCTCATTATTAAACACTAGATTGAGTCAATAAAGTTGTGTGAAAGGAAACAAGGTGTTCTTGATGCAAATGTGCAAGAATAGTCTCTGGTAAGAATTTTTGAATTCTATGGAACATTTTTGGTATTCATGGTATTAGTATAAAGTATATACTATCGAAAAACAGTGATTAATATTTGTCACAAATTGTAATTGCACACAAGGTTGATATTTCTATTTCAACATAATTTATTTCATATTTAAGATCAGGATTTGAACTTTAGACAATTTGGTTAAGAGATATAAGCTTTTAACACTTATGTTGGTGAATTCTTTGGAATATATTCTCAGTGATTGATGTAAGAGCGATAAGAGAAAATATTTGCATATAAAGGTTGTATCAAGATCGATCTTTGACATGGTGTAATGAACTGATGTTGCTGAAAGTAAAAGAAGTACCCAAAACCGGGATGCTTCATATGGTAGTCATTGGGCCTCTGGCCCTCCTTATATGAGGAATGAATGATGATTGCAGCATGGCCTAATCTTTGAAAGGAATAACTACCTCTCCTCCAACTTTTTTTTTTTTTTTTCTCAAACCATTGCAACTTATCTGTTAGGCCCATTGGAACATGCAACATACTTCTCCATGTATTTCTGGAAACATCATTAGGTTCAAATGGACTTAGATTCTAATTTAGTGTTTGGGATAATTTGAATTGGAAAATATTGATTACAGAATACAGATAACAGTTGCAGTAAATGATTGATTTAGCCAACATTTTTCTATTTTATGTGGGTGATGCCATGAAGTTTGATAAGGTATACACAGCTGGCCTCCTCAGATCCCTAAGCATCATGTTTAATTGTTTTGTTAATACTCTAGTTTATTAAAAAATTACATAAGTGTTAAATGTTTTGTACAAATGCCTCAAATGTTTATTTAAAATATCGGTTGAGAATAACTGTTGGAACAATTAAAATTTTCTATAAAAATAGTCTGTGGTCAGGAAGTACTTAAATTAGTATACGCACCCGTCCTTTGCACTGCAACGGTCCAAAACATTCCATTTAAGTGCAACGAACGAGATCGCAACGGATTCATTTAGCATTTGAGCGGAATGAAAAACTTCAATGATTGAACTCTGTCCCACTTTTGAACAGTTTTATTATAACTAGTATTTTACATTCTGCATTGAGCATGTTTATATTTATGTAATTAAAAAATAGATCATTTTTAGATTAATGATAAATAATTTATAACAATATGTGGCTATTTTTAAAATTTATTTGAGTTTAATTATAAATAAAGATAAAAATGATTGATTAAAAGATATAAACAATTAAAGGAAGCTATTTATATTGATAAACATAAAAGGAGAATAGTTTTACATAGTTTAGAGTTTTTGTTAAGTTTCTTTTTATTATGTTGAAATGTAAGTTGTGAAATTAAATTAAATTTCAAATTAATTTTAAGAATTATATTTGACGGAAATAAAAATAAAATAAAATGGTTAATGAGATTGGATAAGGCATGTGGCTTAATAAGAGTGATAATAAGTCCTAGAATTATCCCCATATATTTATGTTAAAATAACTCTTTAAAATATTTTCGTTTAAGATAAAGATTCAAATTTATAATATGAGTAAAGAGTATTTCTGCAAATAATAATTATTTATATGATAAAAATTTATAATAAATAATATTTTTAAATATATAAAATATATTTAATTTATAGTAAATAATTTAAATTGTGATATAAGATTCCTTTTAATTATTAATATTTTAAATATTGAATTTTTATTAAAATTTAAAGGTAAACAAGGATTGGTTGAAATGAATGAACAATCAAGAAGGTCAAATATATAAATAAATATAAAATGACAGTAATTTGACATGGTTGAAATTTTTTTTTAATTAATTAAGAAAAACAGTGTGTGAGATCATATATGTTCTTTCAAATGAGATAAAAGAGAAAATATTTAATTGAAATACATTTGTTAAAATTTTCCTTTATATGATAACATAGATCATGTAATACATATACATATGGTCTTGCATCTTACTGTAATCTTCAGATGTCAGCCATGATTCAATCTTGCAACAAAGCATAACCCTGTCAAATTAGGATGACTTTCATTAATACGAAAAAGAGAATGTTTTTTGTTGAGTTATTTGTTTCCTGGCCAAAGGTTTACAATACTATGTACTAGTACCTACTACCTAACCTTCTAGTTTGATCATCTATAATGTTTCTGGGTTGGTCCATGTGCATAACTGGTAAGAAGGATCAAGTGGAGGGAGGATCCATTGTCTCTAGGACGCAATAATTTAATTGACGCTGGATGGATCGTTTTCTCATCATCTGAGGGTGTCACAATTAATTTCAGCATATAATAATAGTTTATAATGTTGTTGTTGTTCATGGAAGCATCTGGGTCACAAGTTGACGAGGTTACTGACAGGTTGGTGCCAAGTTATAACAACTATTAATGGGTTTGTATCCTGTTAGATGAAATTGCAGGAGTACTATCTCAAATTGCAGTCCTAGAGTAAATTTCAGGCCTATTTCTTTTACCCTTTTCTACTCTGACAAAACTCAACATATAATACCATAAGTTTTGTTGGTGTTGTTTATTGAAGTTTTTATCAAAGATCAATACTAAGAGAACATATTAAACTGTGTTTTAGTTTAGACCACATGTATATTTTTTTGGAAGTACTTTTGTTCCAATCGAATAAGATTAATATGAGCAAAGCAACAAAACTCTTCTCTTGAATATTTAACACAGGTGTATCCTTAAAACTCGAACTTAGAATTGTTAGTGAAGTTGAAATAACTTTTTACTAGTTGATTCAAGTCGATGGTACACATAATAGCTAGTTTTATCTTTTCTAATTTTTGCATGTACAAAATTATTTGAACAGGTTGAAATTGATATCATGTAACTTGAAAAGCAATATATTATATACCTGAAAGTGTCTCATTAAGAGCATGATGGGAATTATTTTACTGTTGGTTCCCTGTTTGAAATGGAACGTAGATAAATATTTCAGTAGGGTCAAGCATTTTTATGATTGTTCTGATATATCTGATGCTGTTCTCCAAGCATTTGATGAAAGTTGCCACAAGGAACTGCGAGAAGCCACGGTGCCCCTCTTCCCATTGCCAATTATAACGAGGACAAGTCACATCAAGGGCACAAAATACTGTGCGAAAATGTGGTTTTAATGTTATTATTTTAAATGATGCAGCCTGGAATCACTAGCTTTGGACGTACTAGGATTTTGTTGCTTTTTCGGTTCCTAGAACTCCATTAAGGACCCTCTTTGCTTCTCAACAATTACTTGGATATTTTGGTGAATTGCAATTTAGATCACATATGTGAACAGTGAATCATATATATTATGTTATAGGATAGGAGGCTTTTGATTGGGGTCCTTTGAGGGGTACAAAGAGAATGAGAAAAGGGGAACACAGCCCTTAAGCACCATTTCCCTTATGGCAAAAAGCTTTTGCATAAATCATAGGGTGCTCAAAGGGATACAGATATTCGTCAGTGTCAGACCCTCATGCATTACAACAATAATAAAATGACATGTTTGTGGCACGTTGGTCATGAACAACCGTTGGGCCTGCTATGTTTCTTCAGAATCTGCACATTAGGGTCTACTATGCACGTGGTCTGCTGCAATCGTGTCTAAAAAGCAGTAATGGGACAACATTGTTTTGCAAAATTAATCTTAGCTAAAATTGATCTTGAAATGAGGTTATCTATGTTTGAACATTTTTATTTTGAAAGAAAATTAATAGTAAAATTTAATGTACTTAAAATCACATTAACTAATATTTTTAACTAAAGATATGTAGTGTGTGTTTAGATTTCCGTTTTAGAGACACTAAACATCTGTTTGCACATTTCAAAACATATGAAGAATAACAAAAGTGATAGATTGAAATAAATGTGGGTAATGTTCCACCAAACACATTTGTAAACATTTACTTAAAATTATTTCAACTTGATCCCAATAGTACTTATAAGAGAATAAAAGAGAATTCCATGCAAAATCTATTCTGTCCTTTATCTTCCAATGCAATTACTTATCAGTTTTTGCTATAGAAACCTGCATGAATAATTGAACATTGTAGAAAAAAAAGTGGGCAAAATCACAACTATACCCCCAAGTTATGGCATTCATTACTATGTCCCTGATACTTGACTTGGTTTACTATGGACTAGTGTTCATCAAACTCTTTTACTGTGCTCTTAAACCAGTTATTTGTCACGGGTAGTTAACATCGGAAAAATCATGGGGAAAGCAATAAGAACTTGAAGATATTGAATCTGCAATGAGGTCCACCTACTTTTTCAACCCTTTGTGGTTTTTCTGACTCTGTCATTTTCTTTTCCTTTATGAATCAGCATGTGTTACTGGCTGTTCGGATTTCTTAGTTATTGCGGTCTAAACAGCCACCTTTATCATTATATTTGCTATCATACCTTTTACATCTGTCCTTTGGATAATATTCATTAAAGTTAGCAATCTATTAATATTAAAGAAACGACTGAAATCTCTTCAAGCTCACGAAATCTTCAAGACATTAATTTCATGATACTTCACCACAAAAACATTTTTTTAAGTAGTTTATATATGATTATTATTTATACAAATATTTTTTAATTTTAATATATTTCTTTTAATCATATTATTGATCTGAAACATTACTAACTTTATCAATAATTAATTTTTATTAAAGAATAATACTAACCATTTTTAATAAATATTAGAATTTCTTTTTTTAATAACATATTTTCAATTTTCAAGACTTAAATTCAATATTTTACTTGAGAGAAGCAAATTTAGTTTATCAATGACTTGTTGATAATTTTCCAACAAATTACACAGTGCCAATCAAAATGTAAGGTTCACGTTCAATCAATTGCTCTTTTTTGACTTATTAAAAGAATAAAGACGGAGCATAAACTTCCTTTTGCACTATAATAAAAATGATTTAGATTTATGCGTATTTTGTTCTTATTAATAACTTTATTTAACCATTATATACATATCAATAATTATAAATACAAATTCATTTATATTCTCATGTCTTTATGAGATAAAGTTAACCACAATGAAATATTTTTATATAAAATTTTGACAAATGATTATAAAAACATATTTAATTATTCGTGTCAATGGTTAATTGCATACACAATTACATATATAATTTTTATTATATGTGAGAAAAAATTAATTAATTATTTTATTATTTATTTTAATTAATAATCTCGTAGCATTATTAATTACTTGTGAGTTATATTTAATTATTAGTGTCACAACTATAACTCAATAATTATATTCCTTTATTTTTTGCACTTAATTGTAAGATGAAATTAATTATATTTACACATTTATTAATCATGTGATTTATGATTGTCAAGTAAAAAAAAAATTAATTATACGTTTATTATTGAATCAATCCACATGGGAGATTTATCATTAAATCATAATGGTTCATCTAGTAATAGGGAATTAGAGTAGAATGAACAAAAGTTTACATTCGAACTCTGATGTTGGAATTGTAATATAGATTAAAAAGAACAATACATTTATCATTACTCAATTGATTATTAGTGTTTTCAATATTATTTTTGCTATGATTATGTCGTTTCATGTGTCCTGCATGTATATACATGTTTGAGCTATGGATAATATCAAGCATGAAAAGTCGTTTCATGTATCTAAATTACGTAAAACATTACATGCTGGAGCAATATACATAATATCATGTTCTTTCACATTGGAAATAAATGGTTTTCATGTTCTTTTAAGACGTACGAATGATTCTTCTGATATGTAATTTTCACTCTATGGAATCTTGAGAGGAAGAAGATAAAGCTATTAAACAGGTGGGGTTCTTTCAAATTTTTATGGAACTTTTTTTATGGGAGTTGTATCTATCTCTTTTTCTTATCGGGGACATCTCTTATATATATATATATATATATCCAGTTAAAATAAATCACAATAAATCTACTCCAGTTTTAGGCTTTGGTTTTCACCTCAGGCACAAATATTCTAATATTAACTGCACTGGCCATGGAAGATGTAATTAATCCTAGTGTATCATTTTATTTTGTGTTATATATTTTTACACTTATTAAATGTGTTTTTAATTATTTAAATATGAGGTAAATTTGTATGTTTTGGTTTTCAAATTTAAATTTAATTTTTTTGATTTTGGAATTTGTAAAAAAAATCTTATTTTTGTCTCTGCTCAAATGTTGTTAATAAATTTTCAACTACAGTATTGCACTAAATTCACAAAATAATATTTTTATTAATAAAAATATCATATTAAAATTAATTAGTAATATATAGCTGCCTCAATTTGTTATTGTCAATTAACAATCAGAAAGATCGAAACAAAATTTTCTAAAATTAAAAAATTAAAAACATTAATTTAAAATTTAAAAGATTAAAATTATATTAAAATTGATATTTTTATTATTGCAAAAGAAAGAAAAAAAAGAGTTATATCCTCTATCATTGAAGTGCAACTGTAATTCAATGAGATCCCACCTAGATACTTGATTTCTGAATCTGTCAGCATCTACATGCAAATAAATAAATAAAAATTCCAAGGTTTGATTAGGATTTATTTTTCTCCACTTCCAGAGTACTGTTGGTCTTTTGCCGTAGCAGCTTTATGTGAAGTTAATTAATGGATTTAGCGACACCATCTATTTTGTTGAACAATAACTATAGCAGTTTTAAACGAATATTGGGTCTTGTTTAATGTATTTGGTCCACAGGGGAGTACAGCACAAATTCAAAAATAATGATGTCTAGTGTCCAAATTAATTAATTTGTGTGGCAGCAATTGATTAAACATGGGGCAAAGAGGAAATGCATTTACATCCTGCAGCTACCATAGTTCCAGCCCTAATCATGTGTAATAAAAAAGATTGAATAACTATAAATTTTCTATATTAACTTTTTTACTTTATTATTATTATTATTATTATTATTTTCATCTTTATATATAAGTACTTAAATTTATGGAGAACATGTCTTATTTTTTACATGACACCTACATTTTCTATAGCACTATTTTTTATATAAAAATATTTTGAAGTTAGATCACTCTTTCGAATCATCAAGATTTAGACAACTGCTAAGTGCATGTTTTTAGAGAAAGTTTTACCATAATAAAGTCAAAATACATTAATTAATTATTAGGTTATAAAATGAGTTAAGAGAACACGTTCTCAATAGTTTTAAATGTAATTTTAGAAAGAAAAATATATGTTCTGTAAACGAATTTATTCAATTTACTAATTTTACAAATATTTAAAAATGAATAAAATATTATAAACGGTTGTAACTTAGTTTTCTAATAACCCTATCTCTACCTCTATAAATATTAGACATACTGGAGGAGTTTTGAATTTTTTGACTCATCTTATAAGGCACTGCGATTTCCTTTCCTTTAAATCTTGTTTGTTTAGGGTTTAGGGTTTAGGGTTTCAGGGGATTTACTGTTTACGACGAACGAAAGGTGAAGAAAGTTAACATTTGTTTTCGCTGATTTGCACCAAAAGAAAAGCGAAGAAAAGCAGGAGAACCCACGTGGCCGTTCCTTGCGAAATTGTGAAGAAAAGAGATGAAAGCCACGTAAGAAATGAGAAAACCCGATAATACCCCTGCCCAAAAGCTGAAAATAGGAGAAAAACTGAACTCTCAGCGAGCATAATCGATTATGTGTCATACATAATCGATTATGGTGGCATATTTTTGCTTCCAGGCGTGCCCAGAACGGGGCGTTCCAAAATTGGAACAACCCGTTCCAAACTACTAAAACAAGGGTAATTTAGTAACCTAGAACGGACCGTTCCCAAACTGGAACGGGCCGTTCCAAACTAGTAAATTAACTTAAAAATCCTAGTTAAAAACGGGCCGTTCCAAATTGGCTGTTATGGGTAAAAATGCAACCCCAAATTTGTAATGTTAAAAATTTCTTAATTTTTTAATTGGTAAAAATTAACTTGTAGAATTAAAAAATGTATCTTCATTTCATTTTAATTTATGTAAATGATTTATCAATTTTTTTAATTTATTAATTAACTTTCAAAAATTTATTGTACATTTTTTTTTTATATTAAGAAAATTCTATTATTTAAATATTGACATTAAAAAGTGGAAATATAAAAAAAATAAAGTAATACATGTTATAAAATTAAAATAATAACACTTTCATAAAGATTAATAAAATAATGTTAGAAAATATAATTATCATAATATATTTTGTTATTATTATTTATTATTATAAATATTATTATTATTATCATTATTATTAATATTATTATTATTTATT